CCACATATCTAATTCACGTGCAGAGTTATTAGAAATAAGCTAATTTGCACTTCTCAAATGTGGTCCACAGACCAGGAGGCTCAGCATCAGCTGGGAATGTCTTAGAAATGCAAGTGTCTGGCCCCAGACCTGCTAATGAGACACAGGGCAGTGCAGCCCAGAACATTTATGCTGTAAGAAACCAGCCAGGTGATTCTGATTCTCAAAAAGTTTGAAATCACTGGCCAAAATTAGAGGACAGGAGCGTAATTTTATTCATAAAGTAGTTATCTCAAGCAGTTCTCTTGGATTTGGTCTAAATAGCAGAGTTGCCTGTGTGTCAAGGAAGTTTTCCTTTGCAGCAACCAAGAGACCAGGCCTTTGGTGTAGAGGAGGTACAGAGATGTCCCAAAGGCAGCTCCTAAAAAAGGAATGCTGAAATGCTACATTCAGCTTAAGAGGAAAAGAGCTAATAAAGAGTTCCTGTTTAGACCCACATCAAATGCCACAAGATGATCATCTTCTCCCAGGAGCTTGTCCCTATTATCCTATAGCCAACTCCTGCCATGAGGGAAGAAACAGATGATAAGAGCAGGAGGAGAACTGTGAAGTCATGGTGGAGGATTTCTTAACAAAGTGACAGAGAAAAACAAGGGGCCCTGTTTGTCCTCCTGCTCCTCACGTAGCCTGACCCTCAACATTAAATGATTGAGGAAGGAGCACCCATGTTAAAATGTGGATGGACCACATTTGCATTCCATTGCACAAGGCCATAGCAGTAGGGTTAGCAAGGGCAAAGAGAGGCAAGGAACAGAACTTCAAATTAGGAGCAAAACTTCAGTACTTTCAGAGGGGGAAAAAAAAAGGCATAACAAGCAAAATAAACTCGCCAGATGCTTTACAGAGGTCCAGCAGTTGAAGTTGATAAATAAACCACAGTGGTTAAACTTTGAAGTTATCAGATAGGTCCTGGCTTATGGGGTTTTTCTGCTCTATTCATATCATTCTAAATAAATCTCCACATCTTTCGTCACTACTGCTTCCAACAGCCACACTCAGGGGTGCACATGAATATGGGGCTGGGGATATACTCAGCTGGTAGAGGGCTTGCCTTGCATGCACAAGGCCCTGGGTTCAATCCCTTGCACCATAAAAAAAATAATAATAAAATAAAAATTAAAACTTGAATATGATTTCAATCAATTAGAAGTAAGATTTCAATTTCATAAGACTCTACCTGGCCTTTCTGACTTTTAAAAAATATGTACAACAGTCTTTGTTAGATCTCACCCACTTCATGTCCACCTGTTAGATCTCACCCACTTCATGTCCACCTGAACAGAGATAGATTAGCTCAGAATTCAAGTCATTGATAAGAGAGGCAAGGAGATGCCTCTCCCAACTTAGAGAAATTTCAAGAAATTCTCAGGTGGCAAAGAAACACTAATAGAAGTTTCATCCATCTCATTTTTCTTATCCCTTTTATTTCACCAGCCCAAATATAAGTGAAAAAGGGGCACTAGGGAAGCTCTGCCACAGAGGCAAATGGTCACTTCCTGACCACCTAAAGATGGTACTTAGTGGGGAAGGGGTGCTGGCCACCCTCAGCACTGCCATTCAGTTCTCCCACATGAGGCCTATGAATATGCTTGTTGGGGTGTTTTCTTTTTAAATATTTTATTACGGATCTCTTCAATCTTATCCATCTTCTCCTTGTCTCTCTTAATGAGGCAGAAATGAAAACCCCACTACAAGCAAGAAGAACCTCCCAAAACCTACACAGAGGAAATGGGTCAAACCCAGCCCCAGCTCTGTAGCAGATGCTAACTTGTGTTCTAGATAGAAATCAAGACTTTCTGATCATGGCTGGTTGGAAGTAAAGAATCACACAATTTACCCTTTAATTATGATTTTAAATGATACCCCCACACACACACACACACATTGTGAGAGCCCAGAAAGGGGACTTTGCCCATTCTGAGAGATTCTGGGGGAGATGCACTTATTAGCGGTTGGTCAGTGAGCTGGGAACAGAGCATGCAGGGGTTTGACTGAGCTTTATAAAGGGGGAGATGAACAGTTAGGCAAAAGACACTGCAGCGGAGAAGCTGCACAGTAAGTAGAAGGAGCAGAAATTGCAGACAGCAAAGAGGAGAGAAGATGTGGAGAAGTGTTGGGGCCAGTTGGCATTTTTACCCTTTTTCCCCACAGGAAGCCATTGTCAGGTTTTAAGTAGTGAAGGCTGAGCTCAGACCTTTGAGATGTGTGTTTCTACGGCCACTCATGAGCAGCCAGGCTGCAGTGGTGCTGCAGGCTTGGGAGTGAGGCAGGCTGTTGACCAAGCAGCTCTCAGGCAACACAGGCTCTGGCTGTCCATGGGAGGCACCAAGAGGGCTGACATGTCCCCATGCTCAGAACACTCCTTTGGGTGGCCCATGTGTTGGTCTTGGCATAAGAATTTGGCCCACTCACGGAGAACCCATCCAGCTTCACTGCTTGGAAATAAATCATATCATGACTTCAAGTTCAGCCTGTCTGGATCACAAGAAAAGCCCTCTTACCATCCTATGGGCAAGCTGCTCCCTGTCTCCAGGGGCAGACTAGTGGTACATAGGCTTAAAGCAATGGGAAGACCTCTCCTCATTCTTGCTGAACATAGTCAGACATCCAACCAATGAGACCAGACTGGAAGTGCCTAATTCCTTTCCACTGAACATGGTGGCATTTTTTCAGAAGTTGAAGTATCCAGCTTATAATGTGGAATCAGACTAGTCCCCTTTGATTAATATTTAATGTCATGTATTTTGGCATTGTCTTTTGGGTTCCCCTAAGAGTCTGGCACATTGTAGGATGTAGAAGAGATACTCAAAAGATACTCAAGCAATACTTAATAAATTAAATCAAGCATCAACCCCACAGATGGGTTGGTCTAAGTGGTGGGCCACTTGGTGCAGCACTTCCTGACCATTGTCTTGTGCTGATATATACGAGACTACTGGCTCCATTTGAATCCCTGGCCACCTGAACACCAGCCTCCCATCTCACTCATTTTATGAAGCTCTGTTCTCTTGGGACCTCCATCTGTTCTCTTGAACCCACCAAACCTAGCCATCTGGTAAATGCAGGGGGTTACTAAAGATGTAATAAAGGCAAGAGGCAGACAAGAAAGAGAGAGTACTAATAATTTGCCCCATCTATGGAGCACTATCTGTACCAAGAGTTTAACATACGTAAGTACTCATCATGTCTTAACTGCTGCAAGGTTAATATTCTTGCCCTTCTTAGCAGATGAGGACAGTGGAGCTCAGGGAGGTTGAGGGATTTCTCAAATCCTGACAGTCAGGAGAAGGCAATGTGGGATTCATGTTTGAGAGTTGCACTGTGTTTCCATGGAGAGAAGGAGCAGTTATAGCACTGTGAAGACAACAGCCTGTCTGCTCTGCCCCAGCCTCTTCAGAGCCAGAGAACTTGCTTTGCACACTGTGCACAGGGCGCATGTTAGCATTTGCTCGTGTCCCCAAACACCCTGCTGTCCCTCTCACTCCCCTCTCTTCATCTCAAACCACTATCCTCAGCTCCTCACCCCTCTAGTTTCCAGGCATTTCCTGTTTTAAAATAATTCGTTACTTCTGAGATGATGGGAAATTAACATGGGGCAGTCACAAGTCCTCCCCAGAGACCTCCTGGAGGAATTCTGAGCCAAAGTTGAGTGGGTGAGCAAAATCATGGCTTCCCACAGCAGCCAGGAAGTGGAGGCAGATGAAATGATAGCTCAAAACCGCTGGAGGCCTTTATCTCTGCCTCTTCAATTAATTGAATACCATACTTTCAGATGGCTGGTGTCTCTGTATACAGGATGAAGTTGGTAGGTCTCATCCTACAGAGATGACATTGCAGATTAGGGTAGGGTAAGTGACAGCAATAGAGATCAGAGCCCTAGTGAGGTCTCAGAATTATGGAATCAGAGGAGATATATGCTTGGTAGGGAAAGGGTGAGGAGATTGATGCCAACTAGGCAGCCTGTCCTACAGTCAGGGACAAGCTCTCTTCCTAGAAGTCTAAAGAATGAGACCCATGGATAATGCCTGAACGCCCATCTATGAAGTGGACAGCCCTGATGCTGAGACATCAAGAGAGTTATAGGATGGAGTTTGGAACTTACCAGAACCTTCTAAAGAAAAACAATGCATGTAGGAGACCCCTCAAAATCCTGATGATAAACTTTGGGTGAGGATAGGGAGCCCCTGAGGGATCACAGTAGATAAAGGCCAAACTGCCATGTCAGAAATCCTAAATTCAATGAACTGCAAGGACTTTCCTTTTATGAGTAGAGTGAACAAGTTGGGACAAGCATGTCATCCATTCATCCTCCCCTATCCTCCCCTGGGCTGGGTCATCCATCCTCTCATGGATTAGAAGGGGTTCCTAATTACTTGCCTGCCCAAAATGTCCATGTGTCTCTCTTCAGCCCTGATGATGGGCAGCTGCAAAGTACTGTCTTATAAAACTGTTATTCAAATGTTTATGACCCTAAATGTCAGTGAAAAGGAGACATTCTGCCTTTGCTGCCTTCTGTCAGGAAATGCTCTGACTGACCAGCACATCCTCTCTTCATGAGTATTCACTGAGGCCAGTGACATATCTGGTTCATCTCTGCAGTGTCTGTCATTGTTTGTTGGACCGTTGGATAAAGGGAAGAGGGCTTCAATACAATACATGAAAGATTGGATGAATAAATGAGTGAATACATTTGCAAGATAGCTACCTGGGGAAGAAGTGACACTCTTACCTATAGAACCTATTTCTCTGTACAAAACTACAATATTAAGAATGGGTTATGCTTTAACTCACTGAGCTATTCGGACCGGGTAGATCATGGCACTGAGTAAGTCTGCCATGCTTGGAGCCATTCCCCTGGTCATATGGTCATACTTCCAAGGCAGCCTCCTAACAGCAGACCTTTTAGAAAGCAGGTGGCTGGAGATTTTCACTGACCTATTCTTTCTTTCTTTGTTTTTCAGATTATCAAGGAGGTCCCTCCACCCCCCGTTGAAGAGAGTGAGGTAAGTGACCAGAGCAGGGTACAGCCAGGTGGGCAGAGTGGCAGAGTGGGGCAGAGAGCTGACTGGACTGGCCAGACACCTAGTCCCCTGCCAAGCAGAGCTGGGCCCCACAGCATGTGAAGCAGCAGGAAGGGAAGCCTTTGGCCCTTTCCTAACCAGGGAAGCCAGGAACTGAACTAAACTGGCAGCCAAAAGCAGAATGGTTTCTTCCTACAAAGATAAAATGTATGATGCATACATAAATGTTTTTTATCAGTACAATTATTTAAAGCTCTGAGGTTCCAGTTTTTCCTCTTGAACATTTTAGGATTCGCTTCTCACTGCAGAATTCCACTGCATGTGTGTAGATCAGGGCAAAGTTGCCACGTTCTTCAAACATTCATGGGTTCTAGGAACAACCCAAAGCTGAAGCATTTCATTTTTCTTTAATTTAAAACAGTATTACCTAAAGATGTGCCAGGCAGTAATGAAAATATGCTGGAGGAGGATATGCTAATATCCTGGCCTTGCTTGCTCTTAAATCCTCATCATCTAAAGAAAAAAAAAATGTTCATATTCTACCACTAACTCATCCAGTAAGCAGTTCTGATGCAAGGGTGGCCTGGGGTGAAATATAATGGAGGCATTTAAGGCATAACGTGAGAAAGATGGGTCGCTAGGCAGGAATGCATAGCAAGTGGCTTTTCTAATCTGGGAGAGCTGGACTCCCTAGAAGCCTCACCTGCCAATTTGGAAACCAGAACACAGATCCAAAAATTTAGTGGGAACCAAAAACTATATTAATAAGATTTCAAATTCTTACCTCAATCTCTAAAGGCTATCATGGTGTGGAAATCGAGCACCAGCCCCTCACCCTTCCCTTTCCCAATGCCTTTGTCAAGTTTCCTACATACAGAAAGGAAGATGATTAAATTTAAAATTTCCATGCGTCTCTTATGCCCTGGACCATATGCCTGGAAGCCAAGAGATTTAATAGCTGCAATCAATTAAAGCACATCTTGTTGGAATGCTGACTTTCTGCCCAGAAATCAAGGGAGGAAATTATATTGCTGTGCAAAGAGAAAGGAGAAAAAAAAAAAAAAAAAAAAACTCTCTTTACATCCACAAAAGCCTTCCAGAAAAGGCACCATGGCTAGTTCCATGATTCCAGTTTGGCTTTGCTTCTGTTATGTGCAGCTGTCTCTTAGATTCCCGAAGAAAAACAGAGCTAGAAGCTCCCTCAGTGGGGCTGCTCTGTTGGCCCTGAAGTGAACAATGTTCCCTCCCTCCCTTACATTCAGTTAAAAATTGTTGCTCTTTCTTCTGATGCTGGCTCTGCATTTGCCTTTAGAAGGTGACGTGGCAGCCACCGTGGCCCCAGCACAATAGAGCCTTCAGGTATGAGACTGTGAGAGTCTAGTTTACCCCAGGATACAGCAACTAGCATGGAGTTCCACAGACAGTGCAAACTCAACAGCTATTTGTAGGATGCAGTACTAAACCCATCTATACCATTTTGGAGCCCCCAAAAGAAAATAAATAGCTAAAAGCAAGAAAATAGAAGTAGCTGGGTTTTTCCAGTTGAATCGAATATTTTTATAGAGGTTGTACTTTTAACCAAAGAAAACAAACCTGCTGTCTGAAACATAATGACAGTCTTGGAACACTTGAGACCTGAATGTTTGCATGAGGCTTCAAGGAGCTCTGGGCTGGCCCCAAACAGGTACAGGCTGTGCTGATCACCTCAGCATGTATGTTGGCCCAAATCTCTTTCCTAATATATTTTGGCAGGAAAAAAGGGAAGAAATCCGACAAAAACAAATAGTATAACTTAGCCCCTGCACAATTCTTTATACAATACTCTGAAAATGGCAGTCTGAATCTAGACCATTGTCTCTTCCCTGGGTTCAGATCCCAGCACTGCTGTGAGCATGGCTCATGTGCACCTATTGCCCCCAAACACACTGGGATTCTTTCCTTCAAGCTAATTCCTCCGTCTGCATAGCTGCAATCAATAAAACATGACTATCCTCTTCAGCCACAGCTAACTGGATCAGGAGGGGGCACTGAACCCAAGCATAGCCAGTCCACTGGTTGGTTGTGATCTGTGGTTTATGATCTATGGTCTACAGTGAAAAGATGAGTTGGACCAAAGATATTCCCAAGTTGGGAACTGGGAGATAGAAATTGAGAGATTAGGCTGTATTTTCTGGGGACAGAAGTTAATATAAGGGCCTGGGAAATACCAGCAGGGAGAGAAAAATTAATTTCCTTTCTCCTTCTCCATAGTCTCAGAGTATTTCATAATGTCTTCCCTCAGCATCAAAGTTTAAGCCCATCAGCTACTTGAAGGTCAAGATTTATGTCTAATTATTTTTTGACTTATCATCAAAGAGCTTAACATGGTGTCTAAGACTCAAGCTGTATGAATTCAAACACTCTGTGAACAGTATTAATCACCCAAACTTTCATCAGTTCTATAACCATGGCATTCTAAGGAAGGCATGTCTACTATATAAATAACTTAGAGAATGAAGACAAATGTATAACTCTTTATAATGATCCTTTTTAATATGGAATCCTCTTTAGTAGGGAATATAAACATGCATAATGTAAAAAAGCAGGACTTGCTGAGATTCCTTGTAACCAACAGTGTGTTTAAAAAGAGTATGAAAGAAAAGGTTACCTGAAATTTGGAGATCTTAGAAAAAAAAAAAGCAAGGAAGTTCAATGTTAACAACTCAGAGAGGAACATCCTGGGTTAAGGCTAGTCTCTAGTTGGCACCAGAGTGAGAATTCTTCACCAGGTCTCTACTCCAAGTAATTGGCAGTTTAAGGGAGAATGCAGTAATGAACTACTGGATTTGATGGTTTTATTTTCAATGTAAAACCTTTCCGTGGATTCTCTAACTATATTTTAGTTTTTATCAGGCTCACTAGGCTGTAAACTACTCAATGAATAGCTTTTTTACATGGTGCATTTTGATATTCCCTATTAAGAGGGCCACTGAGAGCTCATTATAAAGATTCATAAAGTTTTCTTCATTGTCTAAGTTTAGTTATTTAAGCAAAGACATTTCTCCTTAGGACATGACAGTTACAGAACTGATGAAAGTTTTGGTAACTGATTCGTAACTTGTTCATATTTATGGCACAGAGAGGATTTGACTTTGTAGAACTATTAATTGTTTTGAGACCACTTGAGCTGTTAATTGGGGCCAGTTCAAGGCTAATTCAAGATGAATGGACCCAGGTAGACTTTGACAGTCCAAGATGAATGGACCCAGGTAGACCAACTTCCTCATGGGCCCCATTCTCCCTCACTCCCAGAATCTCTGCCCATGGACTGGAATTTACTCCTTCTCTCTCTCTAGCTGACCTCCTCCATGCTTTCAAAACTCTGGTTTGTAAAGGTCCCTTCTGTTCTGACTCTCCCTGCTGGTATTTCCCAGGCCTTCATGTAAACTTCTGTCCCCAGAAAATACAGCCTCAATCTCTCAGTTTCTGTCTCCCAGTTCCCAACTTGGGACTATCTTTGGTCCAACTCATCTTTTCACTCTAGACGATAGATCATAAACCACAGATTGCAACCAACCAGTGGACTGGCTGTGCTTGGATCCAGTGCCCCCTCCTGATCCAGTTAGCTGCAGCTGAAGAGAAGAACCATGTGCTTCCTAACAGGCCACAGCCCCCCTCAGCAAGGAGAGAATAAATTCCCTTGGATGGAAGGAGATGTGGGACCTAGTGTAGACACCATACCCTCTCTGGTGTAATATGGTTTAATAAACTAAACTTCAGTCTCATTAAATACAAACAGCTAGGGGCCTGGGGATATAACTCAGTGGTAGAGCATTTGCCTAGCATGCACAGAGCCCCCAGGAAAACACACACACACACACACACACACACACACACACACACACACACTACAGCTAACAATAGCTAAGAATTTATGCCATATTCTTATTCCACCTGCCGTTCATATGGGTTCTCAAAGATCCTACTGTCCACACATTTGACAGGGAAGACATAACAGGAAGCCCCATGACTAAATGGAAAGTTGGTTCTGGCTCAGCCCTATGAAGTGTCATGTCTCAGATACACACAGACCTTCATATGAAGTAAACATAGTGGGAAAGAGAAAAGTCTTCTTCACTCCCATCTCTTTCTTAGTGAAATATAGAGCTCCCATGAACACCTACCATTTTCTAACTTGATCATGCTGACTTGGCCAGACCCAGGCCAGACAGATTAATAGTACATATGATTTGATGACAGCAAAACAGTCCCTTCCTGGAACCTAGACCCCTCCTCCTCATTTCCTTTTGAAGCTCTCTGTCTTAATCAATTAAATGTATTGTCATAAACAAACCAAGAAACTACCCAAATTAGAGGCCTCAGCAGTGAAAGTTTAAACATTGTATTTTTTAGCATCGGACAAATTAAGGCCTATAGGCTCGGATATTGGGAAAATTAAATAGGATAGAGGTAAAAGGTCTGTGGTGTTGTAGGGACAAATGAGGCAAAGCACCAAAGACAGCAGGAAACAGTTTTATTTGGCTGCAGCCAGGTTCAGAGGGCACAGCTTTTGCAGTAATCAATTAATCCCCTGAACCCTGAGTTCAGGTAGTTTCAGAGTTTTATACCCAGCATGTAAGGGGAGGGGCTCAGAAGTTCACAGTCTGCAGAAGTTCACATAAAAGCAGCTTTTTCTTTCACTGTTCTGGGCAAGTTAACTCTTCAAGGACAACACCTGAGAAGGGGAGAGCTTCTTCTCCCCTTTCTTTCCTCTCCTGCCAGCTGTTACCATGGAGCCCAATTGTAACTTATCTTAAAAATGTAGACATCTCTGTGAAGCCCAGCTCAAGGCCAGAGGCCTTGTTTTCACATTTCTACAAACTACTATACAGGATATGATTGTGAAAACCTAGTAAGAGGGTGTCCAGCACCTGGAGTGCTGGTATCTTCTCGGCCAGTGGCCAAGTAAAACAGGGCAACAGAAAAATAGGAAGGTTATCTAC